AAAGTCCAGGTGCAATTGCGTTTATCTCTCCTGCTCCCCATCTCCATAATCATCTGGGGGCCACTGAGTCAGGCGCCCCCACAGCCGAGAGGCCCTGTGAGCATTTGCTGAAGGAAGCCGAGGTTCTTCCCTGATAAGAGAAGGGCTGGCCCTGCCCTTTATAGATGGGCTGGGTGCCAGCTCATCTCTTGGAGGACAGGATTCCACAGCACAGCTCTCTAGCCTGCACTGGCTGCCAGGCTAGGCCTGGGTGGGCCAGAGGTGAGTAAAGAGCAGCCCTCCCTGCCTTCAGCCTCCTGGCTGAGGGGGCCTGTAACCCCACAACGTAGCATGGGTATGAATGGGGACCAGTGACCTGCAGAGCTGAAAAGTGCCACTCGCCCTAGCTACTGAGCCCCGGAGGATGGGCTAGTTACTGCTTTTGCTAAAGCTCCCCCGGGCCCTGCACTGTGCGAAGCCGTGACAGCCATGAGTACATAAGCATCGGCATTTACGCACTCACGCACCTCTTTACCGGGGCCTTTCCTCCGGCACAGAGGCAGAGGGCTGCACGACGCAGCCACACCCAGGGAGGTCTCAAGGCTCAGAGCGTGTGCATCCTTCATTGCCATTTCCATCAGAGGCTAAGGACTCATTAGCTGAACGTGGCTTTCCTCTGAGACCTCACTCACCAAGGACTGTCAGGACATGCTCTGTGGCGTCTCCTCTTCCTGGGCTTCTCTGACGATGGCTGAGCAAAGTACTCCGCTGTGAGCACAGCAGAATGTCCTTAGGAGTCGTTCTATTGCTAGGTTCCTTCAGTAGAGCAGTAGTGTTTGGTTTTCCCCTAGGTCTTTGCGTTATCTAGTCTCAAGCGGTGTCTGGTGTGGGTTCCATCTCATGGAGCGGGCCTTAAGTCAAATCAAGGGTTGGTTGGTGACCCCCACAAGCTCTGTGCCACCACTGTACTAGCATACAGGCAGGTCACCATCGGAGATCAAAGGGTTGGTAGCCGGATTAGTGTTGACCTTTCCCCTTTGGTAGCCTGCAGTTCTGGTGCCAAGGACACTATCCTGTGAGGTAAAGGACCTAGGTAGGCACCAGTTGTGTATTGTTGTCTTCAGCAGGTGGGTCTTGATGTCAGCTTGTGGAGAGCAGCCTACACTCTTGGCAACAGCCTGGGTTGTTTGGGGTTCCCCGTGGGACCCCCTTTGGCCCACAACTCCCTTAGATGTAACCCATTCTCAGTACCGGAAGCTTCATTTGGTGATAAGAGATGTCCAGCTGGGGCTCTGTCTCCTCTGTTATTTGGCAATTTCATTTAAATCGCCTTCATGTATATGCATATTTTAGGAAGCTCCAACTGTATTAGGTGTCCACGCTGCCCCTCAAATGGCCCTTAATTTTAGCTGTCTCTTCCTGTACCCACCCCGCCCCCTCTTCCCCCCATGAGCATCTGTTCCAGACCTTGCCTTTCAGTCTTACACGTATATGCCCAGAAGTAGAATTGCTAGCTCCTACAGTATTTCTATTTTGGTTTCCTGAGAACTCACCAAACCGTTTTCCACAGCATTTGGGCCGCTCCCATCCCCGGGCACCATCCAAGTCCCCCGTTTCTCCACCTCACCGTCAACAACTGCTTCTTGGTTTTGTTCTGTTTTGGGCAGGGCTGGAAGGCAGCCCGGTGCCCACACGTCCTGAGTGCCCCCCGCTTCACTGCTGAGCCACACCCTCAGCCCTTGTGGTTTTCTGGAGAGGAGCCTTCCTAATAGATGAAAGGCATCGCCTCACTGCGGTTTGGGATTACATTTCCCGGTGATTAGCAGAACACTCTGTTTCTGTCAATGGACACTTAACAGTACGTTGACAGTATGGAATGAGTTGCTTCTCTCTCTCTCTTGTTCAATACATCCTGATTATTTCCCCTCCCTCTACTCCTCCCAGTTCCCCACCACTTCTCCACCTTCTTCAAGAACACAGCTTTCCCGTCCCTGAGCAACCTTCTTTACATCTTTAAAACTTCTTGTCCTTAGGGAACAGGCGCGGTGGTGCGCCTGTAACCCCAGCACTGGCGAGGCCCTAGCAGAAAGGTCCCGGCAAGTTTGAGGCCAACTTAACTGACATCATGAGCTCCAGGCCAGTCAGGGCTCTAGCCAGACCCTGTCTCATAAACCAAAAAAATAAAGATAATTAATATAAACCCGTTGGTGCCCTGAAGGTTATCACTGAAGCCTTTCTCTTTGGGATTTCATGTGGTGAATCGAGGCCCAGACTTGCTTCTAACTCAGATATGTCTACATAAGTGGGAGGGGAAGGGACTCAAAAAGGACTCTAGCCAGGTTTGGGACACACTGGAGAACTTCGCTGACAGGATTCAAGCCTTTTTCTTTCTAAATTTCAGTTTTGATTGCATGTGTGTGGTTGTTTTGCCTGCATGTATGTTTGTGCTTGCGGTGGAGGTCAGAAGGGGATATGGGATCCTCTGGAACTGGAGTTACAGATGGTTGTGAGCCACCAATGTTGGTTCTGGCAGTCAAACCCAGGTCCTCTGAAAGAGCATCCAGTGCCATCTCTCCAGACTCTCGAGTCAATTCTCCTGAAAAACCAGAAGCCCAGGCCAAGCTGAGGCAGCATCTGAGGACTCCATGGGTGGCTTGTGTCTCCTCTAGACAGTGATGCGGGCTTTGGGGACCTGGACTGGACTGGGTGGACAGCTGACACCTTGAGAGAGTGGGTCACTCATCTGCCTCTCCTCTGGGCCCCCAGTGGCTTGCAGTTTTCCAGGAAGACCAGGCACCAGCCATGTGACAGGTCACACACACAAACCTCTCTGCTGATAGCAGAGATTTAGAGTTCCCGTGGACTGCACAGGCTGGATTCGTTATCTGCCTCGGTTTATGGCAGCCTAAGCCCTTCCAGATCCCTTATCTTCCCTTCATCTCTCAGCCATTTCAATTTCCTCTCCCTCCCTGTTCCCAACACAGGCATCCATTCTACTGCGATTGGGATAATCCCTACAGCTGCATAAAACGCACGCGCGCTTGCGTGTGTGTGTGTGTGTGTGTGTGTGTGTGTGTGTGTGTGTGTGTGTACTTGTCTATGTGTGTGTGCTCTGTGTGTGTCTGTTTATCTGTGTCTGTGTGTGTGTGTGTACTTGTCTATGTGTGTGTGCTCTGAGTGTGTCTGTTTATCTGTGTCTCTCTGTGTGTGCATGAGTGTCAGCCGATACACGCTGTTATGTGCTAACCAATCTCATCCTCTTTCTCACTTAGTTGTGGATATCCCATGGTTACCTGAGATGCTGATGTGAAGTGAAACTGTGCCTCCCCTGTAGAGACAATCAGCCCATCTTAGAGCCATCTGCTACTTTCCCTGAACTGCTAAACTCCCAGCATGCAGCAGTCCCGAAGTGGTGTGGGCCAAGAAGATTAGCATTCCCAATTAAGGCATTACCTCCTACCTAGCACCCTCACAGATCCTTTCAACTCAGAGGCCCCTGGTGCTGCACACAGAGATGCTTCCCCTCTCCTCAGAGATCCCCTCTCTAGAGTCTGTGAAAGGGATGGCTGTGTTCTCAGGCTGCTGTTGGATCTCTTACCCAGCTTCTCCCACTGTAGGGGCGTTGTTCCCAAAGGATGTTTCACCTGAGATCCACCTCTGTGTGGCTCCCTATCAAACCTGGGAGGAATCCGTATGATTTAAAATAAAACTTAAGTGGTAGAACGTGCATTTAGCATTCAAAGGCTCTAGGTTCAATCCTCCAGCAGTATATACATGCTCTCTCTCTCTCTCTCTCTCTCTCTCTCTCTCTCTCTCTCTCTCTCTC